CAGGTCTGAAAATTATCCTTTCCTTCCAAATACTTATCCATGGTTCTGTAAAGTAGTAGAAATATGAAATCACCTGCTTTGCTCTGGGGCTGAGATGAATAGGTGATTAATATTTTAATAGATGGTGCTTTGAAAACAGTATGCTGTAAGTGCATTATTAGGTATTTCCTGGGGAGCTCAAATGAATCCATGGAAGATAAAAATGTGTCCCTTCTGTGCCTTTGCTGCTTTTTCTTGATCCTAAAGAGAAGCAGAATGCTGCAGATACAAAGTTACCACCTGAAGCATTTTTCAGAGGGAAAGAAAAAGAGGAAGTAAATATGTCTTTCAGGATACAGTATGATTTATAGAATGAGTTATGGTCTGCCCACACCATGCCATGAAACGCAGTGCAGAGAGGCCAGAGATGTTGCCACCTAAGGCTCCTTTAGAAGGAGAAGATACACAGTTGTCATGCTGAGCTTGCCAGCTTGGTGCCCTTTGCTTCACCTGTCTTTAAGCCCTGCAGAGCACAGCCTATACTGTCCAGTTCTGGAATTGTTTAAGTACACATTCCTTTGTTTCAAGAGCTCTCTCTTCAGAATTGAGTGAGTTTCATGTGGCTAACTGAATTTTCCCTAAATTAACTTAAATAAATACCAGAGTTCTGTGGTTTCCAATGTTAGAAATTGTGTTGTGTTCAGTAAAAGCACAGATTTACCCAGCACTGAAAAGCTGGGTCACAGCTCTCCTTGGCTGTCACTACCTGTCATCCTGTAGGCTATTCCAGTTTTGCAGGGATACCTATAGATAACTCGGGAAGTTCCTGTTGTATTATCTGATAGCTGAAATTCACTGAATATAATCTATCTGGCTGAAATTCACTGACTCTAGACACCTACCTTATTCAGAAATCATCCCATAAACCAGCTTTAAATAGACAGTATTAGCATAAATTTGACTTAATGTGGGAGAATGCATCAGGTGCAAATTATTAACTGAATTGAAACCAGGTGTTAAAATAGCTGTGTTTTTTTAATACCTCATCCACAAATATAGAAGTCTAGAAATAAACAGGGTTCCAGTTAGAGTTGTTGAGTTTGAGAATTTCTGATTCATAAGAAACCTTGGTGCTTCAGGTGTTTTCATGCTCTTAAAAAAAAAAATACTGCTTCCGCAGAAACGGACATTTCAATGTTTCTGAATCCCAGCTCCTCAAAGTTGGCTCCCCAGGCTGCTGTGGGGTCAGGTAACCTGCTTCCTGCAGTCCCTGAAGGCAGAGAATGGCAGAACCTGAAAAGTTAACCTTAACCACTATGTTTCAGCAAAGACTTGAGGTGCAATTTCTATCACAGACTTAAGAAAATCCTGAGCTATGAGCCAGTCACCCCGTCTACCCCTGACAGCCAGTGGAGAGAAACAGCCATTCCTGAAGGTGGTTAGTCCTGATCTCAGACAGGTGTCTGACCAGGGAGGGCTGAGTTACCATCTGGAAGGGGCTGTGCTAGGAGGAGGTGAATCACTTTCTGGATCATTTGTGTGTCCTCATTGACTATAAAGGGTAGAGAGGGCGACCGTCTCGTACCTGAGTATACAAAAGTTAGACACTTAAGAAATGAATTCTCAGCATTGTTTTTAATTAATGAGGTTTTTTTAAGCAATGTACTTTGTGTAAGAAAATTCCTGCTCAACTCTAGTTCTGCTATCTTCAATCAAAAGAAGGAACTTCACCATTACGTGAAATAGCATCTGTATCAGGGAATCTACAACTATACCAAGGGTTTCCTCATATTTTTATTCTTTGCTTAAAAAGAAAAATACAGCCCCACAAGCAAATTCAACAAAGTGTTAGAAATGAAATATATTTACAAAAAGAAAAAGCCCCAGCCTTTGAAAATCAGAAAGTTTAGAGTGAGTTTTCAAAGCTGAATTTTAATTCTGCTCTGATAAACTTTTTTTAATGTTAACATACAAACTGTATGTATATTTGAACATAACACTTGCTTTGATTTATGCTTTACAAAACTTAAACTATACAGGACAGAATGTATTGACCCTACAAAAAGAATCCTTACGCCATGTAGGGTGACTGCAATTGGAAGTCTGATGAGTGACAGTTGTGGCCTCGTCCCAGGAGTGGCATGAGCCGTGTGCCTGTACAGTCTGAGCACTTACTGCCTGGCCTGTGAAGAAAATAGTTATAGTGTCACTCCTGAGATGGTTAATAGGTATAAAAGGAGCAAGATTTATAGGTGAGGCTGCATTTTCAATGACTTCTAGTTTCTGTACAGCAATTTGACTGGAGGGATGGGATATTAGAGGTAGTAAATTTTTCTCTTGGTGTCTCAGTTCTTCCTTCTACACAGAGCTAGAGCACCTGCTATTAGATGAATTATCAACATGACGACATCCCAGGTAGTCTAATTTCTATAGGTGCTGAGCATTTGAAATACACTGAAATCGAAAGGTTGTGGTGTGTTTGCACTTCTGAAAATTGAGACAGAAATTCTTAAAACTAGAAAGGAATCTCCCTCTGATGAAGTGGCATTATCTGGTGACATCCCAGAGCATGATGACACTTCACCAACAGTCTTGTTTTCTTGAGAGTTATTAGTGAATCTGCATTGTCATTGTAAATACAAATGAGTACCTGAGAGGTAACTATAAAGTAAATAGATGGATGGAAATGAATAAATACATTTCAATGAGCTTTGCTGTCAGTCATAATTGTGTAAGCTCATAAAAACCCCCATACTGGAGAGCTAATATGCATATATGCAATTATGTTTTAAACTACTGCATGTATTTGGCCACTATATTCTAGTGTGACTTGTAGCATTGGACAGTGTAGGTGTAGAATGTAAGGAAATGGAAGCTCCATATGGTTCTGATGGAAGCATGGAAGAGATCTTAAAAATTAAATGTTTTGCACTTTCCAGGCTCAGGGTGTGTTTTCAGCTATCTAAGGCTATGTGTATGTCTCAGCCCGAGTCTTCTCAATTTATCTCATTCTAAGGTTGGTATTTTTGAAAAGACAGACTGTTAAATGGAACTTTGTGAGTCATGCATTTGGCTCACTCAGGCTTTGAGGGTAGGAATACCAGCCCTAGGTGTCAGTAGTCCTTGATATCTAGCCAAGAAGAGGAGCAATAATCAGATGTAAAATCAGTTTCAAGATCATAGATTTGAAAGATTAGGGAGAAATATGAAAAGAAAATACAAAAAAGCACAGCTGAGCTCCATTGTTATTACTTTTTCATGTGCTACTATGCAAAAGGTGGTGTTTGAAGCTTAAAAACGTTTTGTTGACCGGGTAAATGACAAGATAGACACTAAAGCTAGAACAGTTTTTGATCTTGGCTTCATGTGGAACAAATCTTAATTTTAGCTCTTCAACAATAGGAACTGTGATTCATGCAGCCCATATTTTCACCCCAATGAAATCATGACCATACAGGGAGTGCAGGTTAAAAACCAGCTGATGAATTGCAAGCTTCAGACTCTTGCAGACAAAAGATATATATATATAGCTTTTGAGGTGTTTTTTCCTCTGTAACAGTGTGTTTTTCCTTCTCTTTTCTGTAGTACTGTTTAAATACTGGTGTAAATAAATCAGTGTAGATCTTTTCAATGCCTCTTACAGTGAGGAGCAATTAATAATTGCATGTTAGATCTAACCTGTTTGAAAGCCTGCTGTAGTCCTGCCAATGCTACCTATTTTTGCCTAATAAAATCTTCCTCAGAGAAGTGGAAATGTTAAAGAGAAACGTTTTAAATACTTTCATTTTACTTTTCCTCCTTCAGATAATTTCACACCACAGGAACTTGAGGGGGTGGTGTCACAGAAAATCATACTGGCTTCTGAGTTTCTCTGAAGTCCAGAGATGCTGAAGAAGGATCATTTCTACTTCAGAAGCTAGATATTTTTAGTGAGTAGTGAGTCTTTTATCAATAAAGGAATGTCCATAGCACTCACAAGCTGAGCTCATATCTGCAGGAAAACATGTTTCTCCTCAGCCACTGGATATTCAAGAAAAGAGAAAAGTGATTTGCTATAAAAAAGAAAAAAAAATCTTTTTCTTCAGCCCTTCTATGATCGATCACTTGAGGAGAAATATACTTGGATGTGTTTACAGGGCAGTGGCTACATCTGGCAGCTAAAAAGATCTTCTGGGTGGCTGCCTCTTGAAGCATGAAGCCCTTATTTTGTGCACAAAATTTGCAGTTATAGTGCACAGGAAGCATGATGTCAGGAGAATGTGAGCTCTGGCTCCAAGAATGTGCAGCTCTGGGAGAGGTGCATGGCCCTGTGCAGCGTGTGCAGGAGAGCAGCATCTCTCTGCTCGGGCATCTGGGGGGGATCCCCTTCAGCTTGGTAGCTTGCTGCAGCGTGTTGCTGCCTAGCCTTGGGCTGACTGCAATTTCCTCCAGATCAGGTCAGGTTTTCACAGAATGGGGAAGTTTTTGTGGAAATCCCTTTGTAACTCCATTGCTTTTCAAAAAGAGTTTTTCTCTCCGTAGAGAAACGATGTTGGTCCTTTGCCCCTCAGGTGTCTCCTTCCCTGTGGTGCTGTACAGCAATGGTTACTCCTGACCTGGGTGTTTGTCTTCACGGGCAGGGGCCCAGGTAGATATGCCATGTAATAAAAAAGAAAAATTAATATTGCAAAGCCTGTGCTTTTATTGCTACAACATCTTCGATATCAAAGTTCTGCTCAAAATACTGGTATGGTAAAGCAACAGGGATATTCTAAAAGCAGTATTATTTTGATTGTTAAAAATAGACTTCTATCTCTAGAAAGTATATTGAATTTTCTCTTTTATGGCTTAATGATTTGCTGTTATGACAGACTTAATCAATCTGATGAGTCCATGTTCAATGCTCTGGCAAATATAATCAGCCTCGGAGTGTTTTCTTACTCCACAAAGGCACATTGCTTCTGTGTTTATTTCGTTCTGATGTTTTATCTGTAAACCATATTTCTTTTTCTTGAAGAAAAGTATGCTGCTCTGAGACATACTTTGAAAGCCATGTGTTTAATTTACTGAATATGAAATGATCTTTTTATTTAGGAAGTGAAAGGAGAAAGTTATAGAACAAAACGTCCAGCTCCGTAACGGATGCAGAATTTACAGAGAGAAAAAGAAAACATTGATCATATAAACATCACATGGCAGATTTAAAGAAAGTTTGTAGTAATAAAAAAGACTGTTAGAGGCTGCAGGACCAGTCTTACACCTTGTTTCTAAAAATGATTTACACAATATCCATTTGTTTGACTGCAAGATCAAGATCTACCTTCCATAATTCATTCATTGCTTCTGAATCTTCATTCTGTGTTCTTTAATTTTACTTGTCCAAAATTCTGCTGATACCTGTTTCTTCTGTGAGGGAGAAGAGAGACAGGTCAGTGTCACACGAACCCCCAGCGACAGTGCCAGCAGCCTGCAGAGCTGAACGGCACCTCCGCCTTTGCTGCGATGCGTCCCTGGGCTGCTCCACGGTTCTTTGCCTTGAAAAATACTTGTACATGTCTTTAGAAAGGTAAATGATGTGAATATATTGCATTTGTGTTAATTCTTACTCAACAAGTATGTGCACAAGTATATTTCCAAAGAAGTATCTAAACACTTTTGTCCTCTGCAGACCCTAATTCCTTACTCCATGCAGCAACGGGCATTCCCTAGTGTCAGCCACCTGTAATAAAGGCATTCACACACACACCCTTCATTGTTCCTGCTCTCTTCCTTGCTTTTCTTGTTCTTAAACACCCTTCAGCCATGAGGGATGTGGTTTAGTTCATATGATACAGCCTTCTGAGCACCGTTGACCACACAGTGAGAGAATGTTGATCACCGAGTATTAGCCTGCAAATACAGCCTGCAAGTAGAAGAGCAAACACTACGAGGTACAAAAGCTGCAGGAGTTTCAGCTGGATGAGAAGAGTAAGAACGACGGGCTGTATTCGGCCAGGAATTGTTTTTTAATGTCAGGAACAGCAAACTGTGCATCCCTGGGGAGGGACCAGGAATGACAGAGTCCTGCAACCTGCTGTTTTGGCACATGCAATTAGAGGGCGTGATACAGATCGTGGAAATTTGATGCTGTTCATATTAGAACGTCAGGTGGAAATAAAAGTCATAAAAATAACTAGTATGAATATAAATAGGCAAAAATAGATTCACCTATGAGTGTAAATTCTGAAAACAGACCTAAGCAAAAAACTGATACAATGAGAGCTTCCTCCACTGAGAAATATAACTGCATCTGACAGCATTTCAGATTTTCTTCTCCCCTTACTCTAAAAACATAATGACTTTGTTATTACAAATACGAAATACTCAAGATGCCTTCTTGTGGCTTCAGCCTAATATTCGCAATGAGGAAAAAAAATATCTTTGTTCACATTGGATTCAGTCTCACATACATTAAATTCAGTAGAAGTGTTACAGTTGATCAGGCCTCTAGTATCTTAAAATTATTCTCTATATTACTTTCTTTAATGATGTTTACCTTTTTATTGGCTTTCTTCTTCCACTTAGGAAACACTACAAGTCCTCTTGACTAATCAGAGCATTAAAAAGATCAACTGTAATAAACAATTTCAAAGAAGCAGCTGATCAAATGCTCCTTAAACTGTTCCCAAAGCTAATTTGTACATTAGTTCTTTCTTTTGCCTATTTATTTTGTGTAAAAGACAAAGGACTGCTTGAGAAACCCAGGGCTTGAAAAAGAACTGTACCATAAAAAGCTCCATATGCTTAAAAGCTCAACTGTGAGACAATGGTAAGAGATAATGGGAGACTGGAAGAGAACATTGTGCCAGTGATGTTCCAAACACCTCTACCAGGGGACTTCTACCCAAGCGCCGGGTGATACCTCTGACACGAGGGACACTGGCCCAGCTGGGCTGTAGGTATCGTTTCAGCAGATACTGCTAGTTCTTTTACGGCTTCTTGTGTCCCATCAGGGTTCCTCTGTCATAACCACAAAAAATGTGCATTTGCTATACAACTTCTCAGTAGTGGAGATGACACATCAGTATTTGCCTTTTATGCCAGTCTTGATCTGCCTGTAACTTTTTCAGTTTTCAAAATGATACAAAATATTTATAAACTAACCAAACTCCAGAAGAAACACTATTAGCTGTAGCTTTACTACATAAAATATTTTATTATAATTGTCACCTATCAAGTTTTGATGTATTGTAAAATGGTTTCACGAAGTGCCAACCTCCCACACCAGAATGACATCTACAAGTATTTCTGCATTAGGTCTGTATGTCTGTGAATAAGGATACGCAAATGTAGGTAGATATTCATGTTCTAGAAACGGTTACAATTTTCAGTTTCAGCAATGTGTGGGAGGCTGTCATTGAAATAATTTCCTTCCACGGAGAGGAACAACATACACATGTTGTCTTGCCGAAGAAGACCAGTGAGGATAACCACATCTGGTACTCAGCAGGAAACGCTGGGAGTCCTGCCTGTCACCTGCGCAGTGGTGAGGGTGCTCGGGGAGCTCAGCATGCATAGCAGGCATGTGCATCACTGATGATGTCACTATGTTCTTGGAAACTCACCCAAAGGTTTGTGCCATTTAAGAGCTATTTCTACCCACAGTCATTCACAGGTGAGTCACCAACGTACCTGCCGGTCAGGTCTGCGCTACCTCAGCATGGGACTCCTTGTGCACACCAAGCCATCCACCTGTGAAAGTGGCCTCGGTGACTTGTTTCAGGGCAGCCCTGACACACCTCACCGCCCAAGCTGGACAGACCTGCTCCCACCTGCTCCCAGCAAAGGTCACTAATGGAACCCAACAGCTACGCTAGCTTCACCGATGCCCAATTAAAGAAGCCTTACAATGAGTTTATGTGCAAAACTGTCAAGGATACTGGTGCTACTTATTAGAGGCATCTCTTTCTCCTTCTCTGCATCCTTGACTTCTCACAAGAGCTCCATTTTAGTAGAATAATGAACTTGAATTTGAGAGTCAGCTGCAACTGGAGGAGTTCCAGTCAATACGACTTATCTTTTTATTTGACTGTCAACAAGATCTCCACATACAAAATACAAATTATCAAAAGATTTCTTCCAGAGAAAGGAGAGAGAGGGAGAAACATTTTCAATTCATGATTAATTTTGTGAAGTATCTTGTTATTACTCCAGAGGAACTAAGGGTACCTATCAAAAAATGGCTTCAAGGATGGCAAAAATTAAAAGCAGGATTAAATAACATGCAACTTAATAATATAAGAGTTGTAGCTGTCATTACCAGGCAGAAAAAATAACATCACCATCTACAGGGAGGATGCAGCAATACGTGTGCCAGACCAAACAGTTACCTGCAGTCCTAGCTCAAGAAAAACATCTGGAAAAAAATCTGTCTAACCTGATTTTATCATGTCAGCTGTACATGAGCCAGCAGTGTGCCCAGGTGGCCAAGAAGGCCACCAGCATCCTGGCCTCTGTCAGGAACAGTGTGGTGAGTAGGGCCCGAGAGGTGATCGTCCCCCTGAACTGGGCACTGGTGAGGCCTCACCTCGAGGGCGGTGTCCAGTTTTGGGCCTCTCACCACAAAAAAGACATTGAGGGGCTGGAGCGGGTCCAGAGAAGGGCAACGGAGCTGGTGAGGGGTCTGGAGAATAAGTCTGATGAGGAGAGGCTGAGGGAGCTGGGGGTTTTCAGCCTGGAGAAGAGGAGGCTGAGGGGAGACCTTCTCGCTCTCTCCAACTCCCTGTAAGGAGGGTGTAGAGAGACAGGGGTTGGTCTCGTCTCCCAGGTCACAGGAGATAGGACAAGGGGAAATGGCCTCAAGTTGTGCCAGGGGAGGTTTAGATTGGATACTAGGAAACATTTCTTCATGGAAAGGGTTATCCAGCATTGGAGTAGGCTGCCCAGGGAAGTGGTTGAGGCACCATCCCTGGAGGTGTTCAAAAGACGGGTTGACATGGTCGTCGGGAATATGGTTTAGTGATTTTTATTTCTTATTTTTTAATTATTTTTTTGTCAGAGTTAGGTTGATGGTTGGACTAGATGATCTTTAAGGTCCCTTCCAACCTAGATGATTCTATGATTCTATAATTCTAAAGATCACACATACACACTGTAGAACTTGCAAGTGACAGTCCTGGGGTAAACAAATACCCTACAAGCAGGATGTTCCCTGAGCTCAGCAACATTTGCTCATCTATCTTGTAGGAGACGGTGAAATTTTCCCCAGCTTTCAAAGGGCAACTGGGAACATACTGTCCTTTGTTCTTTAACTGCTCACGAGGAAGTCACACAAACTAAGGGTTTGCTAAGAAAATACATTAATTTTTTTCTAGACTGCCAGTTTTATCTTGATATTGGCTCCCTCTCTTTCAGCAGCACACCAGATGAAGACAGCTTAGTTGTTAGCTTGATGCACTTCACCCTTTCCTTATTGGGGAAAAAAAAAATTCCACAAATTCCTAGATTTGAGACACATGCTGTCACCTGGGTATAAATATATCCAGCGTTACCCTCTTGGCTCTGTGACGCTTTAGGCATTTGTTTGGGAGGTGGATAGGCAGAAAGAATTTAGTCTTGGCTTCAGCCTTCTTCCTCATTTTAAGGGGAGCAAACTCTCTTTTACAAAGCGCCTCAGAGCTGGCCCCGAGTGCCCCGTCCCCGCCAGCAGCGCCTGGGAAGGCCCTGGCAGCCAGAGCTCTGCAGGCCCCACCACAGCCCTCCCTCTGAGGAGGAGGTGAGGGCCTCACAGCTGGTGCTCACTGACACCTTGGCTCCTCTGCTGCCACCACAACGTCCGCGTCCGGCTGCACCTCTCCCATAGCATCCTGCTCAGGACAGCTGGTAAGGTAATGGAGAGCACACACTTCAAAACTTCTTCCCATGCACCACCTGTAACGAAGAACTCATCTTGCCCAAGGAGGTGGTTGAGGCCCCTTCCCTGGAAATGTTCAAGGTGAGGCTCGACGAGGCCCTGGGCAACCTGGTCTAGTTGGGGGTGTCCCTGCTGACTGCGGGGAGGTCAGACTAGATGGCCTTTGGAGGTCCCCTCCAGCCTGGGCAATTCTATGAATTCTATGAATCTCCCCGTGCTAAGATGGACTATTTTTTAGAGGTATCTCCCTCCGTTGCCACTAATTATGAGGCAAGCACAGATCCAAGAATCATAGAATGGTCTGGGTTGGAAAGGGCCTTTAGAGGTCATCTAGTCCAAGCCCCCTGCCCTGGGCAGGGACACCTCCCACCAGACCAGGTTGCTTAAAGCCCCATCCAGCCTGGCCTTGAACACTTCCAGGGATCCACAACTTCCCTGGGCAGGTAAGTCACATAATTTTAAAGCAGCTGATTAGGAGAGAGTTCCAGTGTAAGTAACAGTTCGGGGGCAGGGGGGTTGGAACTCAATGATCTTTGGTCCCTTCCAACTCTAACCATTCTATGATTCTATGAAATAATGCCCCTGGGCAGAAAGATTCCCTGTCTCTTGCCTGGTGGAGATGATGTCAATCAACAAGGGAGCATGGAGAAAGACACAGGATCTATGGGAGGTTTAAGACATTCACAGGAACCAGGACTTCGTTAGTCCTGCTCTTTAGAGTAGAAATTGTTTTAAATAGATCTCTTTCCTCAGGACTTGCCAAAACCTGAATTTATAATTATGATTCAATTTCTATTGTGCCACCCTTTCTGCAACAGAAGTCCTGACTACTACCATGACTACCACCTGCCACCAGTGACCACCATGTAAGAGGAATTATGGGCCAAGCGACGGCTACGGGCAGGGGACTGCACACCTCAGCTGGTCTGGCACAAAACACCAACTGCCAGCTCAACAACGCTATCTTTGTATTGCATGTTATGAAAGCATGAGAGCATCCACAAATTGCTATGGTTTTGATGACCATCAGCCCACAGAAACACATCTCAAATCATTTCCTCACGCTTTGATATGCTTGATGTTATGTTACTGACTGATGAACCACAGAACTTCCAAATCCTTTTCTCTTACAAAGGAATACCCAGTTTTGCTATTTTCCTGTCATTTCAGAACAAGGTGTCTTTTGAAATAACAATACCAATATAAGTGTCATAAGAAGACATATAACATATCTGCCACTACAGATTGCTGGAATCTGTCATCATTTATTGCAGTCAATTGAAGAAGGAATAAAGTTCTATAACAACATCCTACCTCCATTTACAAACATTTGCTACCATAAAGGGTAATTTTACTCGGATTCAACTAAATAACGAAGCTTACATTTTACCTTAGTAAAATCAGCACTGAAATACATGCTTTCCAAACAAGGCAATATATACCAATCATTTTCTTTAACTGTACAATGCAACTTTATATATATTTTAATAGAGTGATTCCTTCACACAATAAAGGCTCCATAATTTTAATAGTGTACCAAATGTATCTAAGCTAACTAGCAGAAACAAGTATAATTTTAAAAGAGAAAACTTGCTGCAGAAACGCAACATACAGCCTTTTAGTGAAGAAAACAAACTGGCGCAGCACGCATCCCCCAGTACTGCAAGAACTCGCTTACACAAGCAGAACAATCTTCCTTTGTCTTCCAGAAATTTAACAGAAAATGGACATAAACCCTGCTGTTTTACTCTGTTACACTAACAAAAAGAGCTACAAAAATAGATTCGATCAGTATTTATGATAAAAACATACCTGTGGCTAATCTAATGGCTGTCACAAGCCACTGCTTTACCTTAATGCCATATCCAGTGAATTGCTAATATTATCCATTGGGAAGAGGAGGAAGACAGCACTGAAAAAGCGCTGAAGTGCTTCTTTCCTAACTGCAGACACTGCAAGAAATCAAACCAGAAATGGCCGTTTATGCCCCAAAATCAATGCAAGATGCAAGAAATCAAACCAGAAATGACCGAATTATGCTGCTAAGCCTATTCATAACGATGCAGAAAAGGCAGAAGTTTCCAATTAAAATTTCTGCTTCCTATTCGCACTGGTGGTACACCGTGTGATGAAGTACCTTCCAACGCACTAGCCACTGAAGAGGCAAAGCATTACCAGAAATAAGACTTTCAATAAGCAGTATAGAAGAAAGATAGCTGACCCAGCGTATCTTTAGGTAGCTGAAAATGTCACCAGATTTTAGGAAAACAAAACTGTTGCACTACAGAAGGTCAACTAGAATGTATCAGGTATAAATACAGACTAATTTTCTGATATCCAAACTATGCTGCAGAATTTAAATTTATAGAAGTTAAAGGTTCAAAATGTAATTACCACTAGTTAACATCTTCTACGGAAAACAGGCATTAGTAGACCTCGTTTTCCTCTTCAGCGAGGTATCTGGTTGATAAACCTAACTGAAGACTTCCTAATTTTGTAGGGCATCGTCACAGCGAGTCCAACGTCTTGGCTCACAACTAGCACGACACTATGGCAATAAAACATACAGAGGGTGGACAGACTGTCAGCTTCCCAAGAGGAGCTTCCCCACTGCCTACAGGTCAGGTGAGTTCTGAGGAAGGGTGTTCAGATTTGTGATAGGACTAACACATTTTAATGCTCTAATAAAACCATGCAAAAGGCAGCCAGGCAAAGCCATGCGTTCTTACACAGAGCCAGAGTAATGCAAAACACCAGAAATCATGAAGTTTACCTGCCCTTCGTTCAGGTACAGCATCCTTTGGCATAGCAAAAGGCAGAAAGCCATACAGGGAAAACATGTAGGCCACAAAATGGCCTCTCCAGGCATCTCTATCAAGGAAAAGATAACACAAATAGCATGCACTAAGGTAGGTTACAAAGAACAGCACTCTAAAGCTGTGTAAGGGCACCCCCCACTACCTGCAGTCCTGAGCTGACCCTCTCGAATTAAACCTGCATTCCCATCATCCCATTTACAGCCATCAGTCCAAGAGGAGAGAAAATGGAGCTTCTGTCCCCTCTGCACCAAGAAGAAAGAAACCCCAACCCACTCTAACAGAGAAAGAGGGGATGGTTCTTGATTTAAGGGGGTTTTTACCAATCAACCACTGTGCTAAATGCCAACTTCAGCCAAGTGCTGATCTCAGAGGTGGCTGCACTTTCGATGAACGGCATCTAGGTTCATGAACTGCAAAGCTCTTCCAGCACTTTTAAGTCACTACATAGATGTTTAAATACGTACAGAAATCCAAGCCCTTATATATCTCAGTAAGATACTGACTACCAATTTCACATCACTGTACTTGCATACTTGCATAGTATAAATAGTATTAAATATCATCTGCACACTGAGCAAACAGCAGGTCCAAAATTTGAGTTGCAGCATCATATTTACATAGTATCTCTCAGAAAATTCACCACAAGCATGACAAAAACAACAAGCTTCACAACAAATCCAGGTGAGATTTTTCTGTACATTGTATTTTTCAACAACTAGAAGTATTTTATTAGCAATACATACATGTTTATACATTAAAAATCTATACAACGTCCTTTTCTCTCCCAGTCTCCGAAACGTGTAGGTTCAGGGCCTCTAGGTCCACCCCTCTCTTTTGTAACAGGATTGATTCCATCTGGGAATTCTAAAATTACAGGGAAAGTTCATTAAAATACCGGTGATGTTGACAAATATAAAGATGTCACCATCTACAATGTTTGCCTCTTAGTTTCACTTATAAATACAGAACCAATTCTCTTTTAACAGCAACCTTGAGTTAACCATTTCCCAGAGTCATCCAACAGTCATTTCAGAGCTCTGTGACTACAGTCAGCAACATACAGATCATATTCAGTAATGCAAATAAAAAAGCACCTCAGCGTACGACTGTTTCTCATGAATTCAGAGTGAAAACTGGCATCATACAGGTATGCTGTACCTATGTACACTGCATGTAAAACACCAGGTCGTTCTCTGTGTTTGTTTAGGTCTCTAATTTTAAGCACTCAGACTTTAATTCAGCTTGAATTTTAGTCAAGATCCTATCATTCTTGTATTTAAAACACCATGTTTTCGTGGATGCTGGTACGTTTTTCAAGAACTAGCATGTTGATATTCATCAACACCAGGCTATATCGTCACAGAAGGTACTATAAAATCCTAAATAGCTAAAATTAGACTTTTTACCTTCTAAAACTTAACCTAAGCTCACTAAGTCACCGTGATGCCTTTTCAGTAGACGACAGACTATAAGCTGCTTCTGTTCCCAGCACCCTGCCATCTGATGCCAGCTCCTCCACACCACGGGTCTGTCTGGACTCAACACTCTCACACTACTCAGTGCTCCCTTACTCAGGGTCCTCTCTTACGAGTAGCACCTCAGGCCACCCACAGGGCACAACAGCCATCCCACTGGGCATCACCAAGCCACAAAGTACTTTTTGGCACAGCACCACCCTAGGCCGAGTGTCTCCTCACCCTGCACTATGCTCCGGGGCTCCCTGAAGCTCACTGTGCCCCACATGTCCCCTGGCCACGCTGTTTCTGCAGAGCTGCCCATACATATGAGTAACTCAGGGCTCCCTCAGTTGCATCCGTAACTCAGCCCTGGTAGGCAACACCAATAATGAAAATGAGAAAGGACAACAGAAATCCTGGAGAGCAGAGAAAAAAGTAACGGAGAGAGACTTGTGTAGCTACAGGCTATATATGATGACATACAGGGATGCCTATTTAAAAATTCATGCAGCCCAGGACAGGAAATGTCCGCATTTGAGCACCTCTGGCAGTACAAGGAGAGCAAATGCACCTGGTATTACTCTGCAGGTACCATCACCCCAGTATCCAAGCACTACGGATGTGCTGACAGTGGATGCAGAAGCTCAAAAGATCTCTCCATGACAGCTCACTGCAGTGGGAATTCAAACAGCCAGCTTAACTCTTACAGTTTTCCTAATGACACAATGGGTGGTCAGAATTCTAACAAATTACCCCTGGTGTTACATGGAAAAAGTATATAGGTACAACTAAATTTGAAGCCAAAAGAAACCTTGAGTCTTGCTCTAAACAAACAACACCTAAGCAAAAAGCAAAAGATAATTACACATTTGTTTTAAATGAAGCAGTGATGGCATTTATTTTCTTGGGAATAAAAGGACAAGAATTAAATAGCTTACACAGTAATTCCAACTCTGAGTCAGTTCTCAAGTGAGTCAATATGAAATTGCTTGCAGCCATTTCAGAGATGATACTATAATTTTTCAGTCATTCTGTCATCTGGATATTCATAGTAATCTATTGATATATTAAAAATGCTTGTCCTAGAGACCTCAAAGTAGATAAACATGGGGTATCGCTACTGCTAAAGCGTAGCAGTACGCCTTAGCATCCCACTACGGTGAGTAAGATACAGCAAGACTAGCACTGCTAGTGAAGGGAAATGGCTAACTAAAAAGAAGGAAGGAGGAGTCTTTCTCCTGTGACTTTCTAGTGACTTCAGCAGCAATGTATCTGTGCCTCAATCTCGCTGAGTTCTCTAAATGCAGCCCCACTAAGGTCACTGGAATGCAACACAATTATCAGTTCATTAGGTCTCCTCTGATCCTGGTAAGTGGCTCAGCAAACTCAGCAATTGCTGTTATTTTTCAAAATGCTATCTGCAAGACTAAGAGGAAGCCTGACCACAAATCGCTTGTGGACTAAGAAATGTAACAGGCTTTTTGTATAATAAAAAGTAGCTGGTGCCCTCGTGAGTTTACTACCACCACTTATAGCTGTACTATAATGATCAATACCAGCCACATTTCTCAGCATCATGCAAAGCCATTCAGCTCAGAAAGTGACGCTGAATGCCTACCCCCCTTCTTACACTGACAGCAGCACTGCAGCCCAGGGGCCTGCCTTTAAAACATGGCTTGCAATTTCATAAAACATGACTTACTTTCCAGGGGTTCCCTCTCTACACTGGACTCCTCAGATTCATCAAATCGACCCACAGGTAACTTGGGTTTCTTAAGCGGCTGCTTGGCAGGTTCCGATCTTCCTCTTGCCTCGGAGCTGGCGCTCCTCAGACCGCTGCACAGCAGGGATGGCTCTGTCAAACAAACCGACACGCACAGCATCAGTGTGAGAGTTCAATACCTGGGACTGTGCAGACTGTGCACCTCTGAAAAACCCTCATTTCAGGAACTAGGGAGCAGAGGCCAGGAAAACAAACTCCAAATATTAGTTTAACATTCAACTCCTCAACACCCAAGAAATCAGCACAGATCATTATTTTTGGCCCTAGAAACATATGCAGGCAGAACTGTGTTAGTTGTATAACTCAGCTGACATAACCAGCGTATTTTAAACTACTTGAACTTATCTTCACTGTTATATTCTTGTATATTAGACTCTAAACAGTAATTATGCTACCAGTACATTCTGTTTTCCTGGAGAAGTCCTAACCTCCCGCGAGATGCCTGCTGATTTCCATGTCTTGGCTCATTGACAGCAGTTTTTGAGTCAGAAAAAGCTTCTGCTTTCCCAAAGGAAAGTTTTAAAAAATAAAATGTTGATCCCTTACTAGCAGGTTTTCCAGAATGTTGGTAGAGAATAGTTGGGCTTCCCTTATGATGATAAAATAACTCAGCTGGTAGCCAAAAGCAGGACAAACTTTGAGCACATTCAAGTTCAATTATAGAACCACATACAAATGCTTTAATTAAAAGCATGAACTTTTTTCCTTTAAAGTCCTACTAACTTTTTTTTTAACATAAATGTAGGAAAAAGTCTATTAATAGCCATACCTAAAGTTCTTTCAAGCAGTATAAAAATGGAGGTGCACAAATATCATAAGTCATAAATTATTCAAGAGTTATGAACAACTAAAAAATTACATATGAATATCAGTCTCTCAAAATGACTGATATTTCTCCATTTTGGTTAAAAAGTCCACAGTGAGCATGGACTACTCTTTAAAAATATTTTAGCTATGGACATGGGCCTAAAGCAGCTCTGATTTTTCTCAAGAAGGAAGATTCAAACAGAAACTCCCCCTGTACCAGCCTAGATGCAAAATACTTGAAAGAACTATTATTCTACCTTGCTGAAGAGACCAGATCAGGAAACCACCTCAAGCAGCATGGATTTGACTCAAGTATATATATACATCAACCAACAACGCACCTATACTCCTGGAATCAGCATATTCATACATCCTAAAATGCCACAACTTAACTCCTACAGTAACATAAACTGTACTATGCCTGCCAACTGCTGCCAATGCCCCAAAGAAATATTTTTTTTTATTTTTATTTGAGCATGACATAATAGACTATCAACTGTGAAGAATCTACACCTTCTGCAAACATTGGATCTCTCTACTCCTGCCAACCATCTTGTCATTCTTCAGCAATCTAAAAGAAAACCAGGCTAGAAAATTAAATTAAAGTTGATATCTAGTCCAAGTTCAAATAAAAGTCAGATTAAGGTGCTGATATGAAATGGATTATCTCAGTCAGCAAAGAGGCAAAATCCACTTTCCTATTTGCAATACCTGATATTGATAAAAACACATTCTTCTAAACAGAGGTGACAGAAGCTCAACATAAAGTACCTCTGAAAAAGATGAGATGAACAATCAACTTTATCAGGAAACTAGAGTCTACAAACTGATCTTTGACTCCCTCATCTTTTATAAGCAGTCACAGAGCCATCAAATTTATTAATTATATAGCTGTATTTGAAAATAAGCTGAAAATCCCAAGTTTTTAAAGTCACTGCACAGCCAACATCCACGACATTCAGTCTTTTGAAGCGGCCCAGGGCCTGTGATTTATCACACCGAGTCATTGGTGCAGTGGGAGCCGCGCACCCATCGGGAGACCCAAATCTCCACATGAACCTAACGGCCAAATGAGAGCCTAAGAGAGGGGCCACAAATATCTAACAGTATTTTTTTCCCCCAGCTCTTCTATTAACACACATTGCACTGGTGTGTTCAGGCCTGTCAGTAACGCCACACCAGTGGCGGTGGGTGACGTGGCCCAGCTCTGCGTGCCCGAGGGACAGACACACGCTGCCCCGTGCACAAACCACCTGTATCTCCTCTTAAAAGACGGAGGCCAATGACTCCCAAGGCAACAGTAAGCTCCCTCCAGCTATTCTACAAATATTAAACCCTGGCTTAATATTTTACTACCCTTTAAAAACTCACAGCAATGACAGGGAGAGAAAACCTCTGGAACCGAGTGAGGCCTGATAGCAGGTTTGCAATACAGGGGAGAAGGTGAGTCTCTAGAGAGGGGGAAAAAAGCTAGAACCCGGCAGGGAAACCCGGGGGGCACCCACCGCCCGGACAGAGGCCGCGGGAGCCACACTCCCCTCACGCGCCGCCATCTTAGGGCCCCTCAGCACCCCCCGCGCCGACACCCCCGGCCGGCGGGCACTCCTCCCGCCTCGTCCCAACCCCCCCGCCCGAGGAAGGGCAGCAGAGAC